TAACGTGTTAATTATCTCAGAATTACGAGATAATTTTTCATGGGAAAAAGTTTTTGCTCTGTTTTTCTGAATTAATGACTTAATTATCTCAAAATTACGAGTAACTCGTTAATTCACAAAAAAACAGAGTGAAAAAAATGTTTTTCAAGAAAAATGTATCTCATAATTCTGAGATCTTAACTCGTTTTTAAGTCGATTTTTTTCCTCAAGTGAATGCAATACGCTTCTGTATAATCATGTCTACATGCCTAAATGCATTGAGTTGCTGTCTGATTAAATATTTGCATTAACAAGCAGTTGAACAGGTGTACCTAATAAAGTGGCCGGTAATATTTCTTTTCATATTTATGCAACTAAACTATTTAAAATAGAATATCCAAAGCACTGTCTGCTTAGCAGGCGGTGACATGCTTCATTCAAGCTTCCAGCCTTCAGTGTTTCACCCGAACGTCACCGTTTGAAGAGATGTGCATGAAGTGAAGAGTGATTTCAGTGGATCGCTGCTGCCCCCTGTTGACCACATGCCTTTCCTCTGGGTGACAAGTGCTCAAGCAAAGCATTAAAGAGGGTATTTATTTAGCTAATAAAGAGAATAACTCCAGTACAAAAGCAGAGGCAGAAAGTAAAAGAGGTGTGTATCACCTTAAGGAAGACAAATCGGATGTTAAACGGTAAAAGTGCCGGGGATTCAGAAACGCCATATCATTTTTCAATTAAGGGTGAATTCAGGTTAATATTTTGCCATTGAGCTGACTAGGAAGAAATATGAATAGTCTGTATTTTTTGCATTACAAAAAGAGAAAAACTCCTGAGGGTTTCAGAAATCAGAAACGATTTAAACATCACCCTGCTATGATTCTCATGCAGAAGCAGACCTTATTTCACACCGCTTTTGCCTGAAAGGTCAAAAATAAAGAGTTTCACATAACGGAGAGAGAGAGAAAGAGAGAGCTGAGAAGATATATATCCCTGGAAGGGATTTGTAGAGCTCTCCGTTTAAGCTGCTTACCCACCCTGAAGCAGTCGCCTCTAATCCACCTGCTTTATACATTTAGCTTATTTGTATTCATCTAAAAACTCTGTGAACAGCAGGCAACAATGCCGGATGCTCAGGTGGCCGAACCGAGAGGGAAAATACAGCAGATGGTTAATATCAGGGTCTTCCTCTATTCCTTCGTAACTCACCGTTTTGCTCACAGGGGAGGATTAACAAGAAAACAAGCATATCAATAACACCGGCATCAGATGCGTTTTCAGAAACCTGCTAATGCGACTAGAGCTGCCGCGGCTTCACTGACAGGGCGAAAAATGTCAAACAAATTCAGTTTTTGATTAACTGAATTAACCGAGATTAGAGCACTCTGGGGATCCAAAGACAAAGACGGACACAACTAGGCCTGATATTGTCAATATTACCCATCATAATCACCTTTTATCAGCAGGTGACTTGATTATGGCATCTATCAAAGTTCAAATAATGTCCACAAATTCTCCTAATAATATGTTTTATAGGGATGAAGTTGAGTAACCGAGTAAAGAGAAAGTGACTTAAACATTAAAATTATCCTGACCTTTTTTAATTAAATATCATTTTAAACTCGCTATACTGATAAATCAGCATTTAAGAATGATTTCTGAACTTAAGGCTGGGGGGAAAAATGGCTTCTGACTGAAAATTCAGCTTTGCATCACAGAAATAGATGACATTTTAAAGCATATATTCAAATTGAAAATAGTTCTTTGAAATTGTAATAATATATTTCACAATGTTGTCTGTTAAGAGTTTTGTTATTCTGAACCATCATCCATATATCTGTATACATATCTGCAGCACTGAGCTGGAAAAACAATAATGAAGTTTGCAACTACGGGGCAAAAAAAAGAATAAATAATAAAAAGAATAACTCCCAGTGACGTGCGCATGAAAAACCTTAAGGTGATGATACATAGGGCAACTTATTGAGCAATGTTGCCGAGCGATTGTTGATTGGCCACTTTCCCATTAAAAATGGGCAATATATTTCTATCTGGATAATTTAGATCGGTCGTGGGCCCTGTGTGTCATCTGGTTGCCCGTTGACGGCAACATTGCAACAACATTGCTCAAAAAGTTGCCCTGTGTATCATCACCTTTATTCAGTGAAATCGTGGAAGAGACAAAACCAAACAAAAAACCTTCAGGAAGCCCAAATGTTTCCTCAGAAACAGCAGAGAATGAGCTGGAAAACCCTCCGGCACAAAACAACCATTCAAACCGGGAGCCGAGCTTTAGTGGAGCCTGAAACTGAGAGAAGCAAATCAATCTTTTCTAAAAAAGAGGAACACTAAGTGTGACGGTTTTCAAGAAACAAAGGCATATGCTGAAAACAAGCATAAAGTTTCTGAGCATTCACAACATTTCGCACTTGGCAGTGGGGAGCGAGACAAGAAAGTTAAATGACTGAGAATCTTCACTGAATTAAATTCGGTTCAGTGACTTTATTGTGGCTGACGAACGAATAAACTACATAAACACAGCAAAAAATGATTTGAGGCCTGTGTTAAACTGAAGCAATGGTCTTCTACAGCCTGATGGAACTACATTAATTATGCATAATATAGTAAAACAGCTGCTTTGCAAGTCAATGAGGGTTTATAACAAGACAACACAGTTACTTAATAATTATAAAACTCTCAGACTGCGATCATGTCTTTATAAGCACATCTCCAACACCAATGAAAAACTGACAAAACACATTGAAAGAGAAAGCAGAACATCGTCATATTTGATAACAAGGGTGTAATTGTTGAGCAACAATCGGTAGAGAAATGTGTACATCATTCATTTAAAATCTAACATAATATCATTCAACTTCTCAATCTACATACTGTAGACCATGCATAACATATTGTAAGGATAATATAAAATATAGTTTAAAAAAAATGTTCTAACTGACAATAGGCTAAGTAAAAGATAATTGCCTCACAAATTGTTCCATTCTTCCTATGCCACTAAAAGCCTACTGTATTTTATATCAATTTGAATATTTGACATCTGCACATAAGGCCTAGACAAATCTATAATTGTCATCTAATCAAAACTGATGAATAAATAACACTGTAATATTATTATAACTGATTGATGAATAAATGAAAAGCAGTTCAGTACACTCGAAATCACGCCGCGATATAGACTAGTGTGTGTGTGTGTGTGTGTGTGTGTGTGTGTGAATATTAAACGGCAAAAAGACTATTTAAATACGAATCCTGCATGTTCTGTGCTATGGTTCTGTGTGAATGAATGGTCGTCAGACGACGAGCAGTTTCATTTACCTCACACACATTTACCTCACACACACACACACACACACACTGAAGGAAGTGTGTGACGCTCGCGCTGTTTTTTTTTTGTTTTGTTTTTTTTGCCTATATGAGGACACAAAATAATGCATGAACTTCATCTCCAGACTCTAAACTCGCTCTGAAAGTCACTTCATCAGCATTTAACCGCTTCATTTGATAAAAACTATCATCATGTCAAACACACAGAAACTCGGCGGTCTTCACGGCAACCCGTCAAAATAAAAGTTCGGTTGAACTTGACAGAAATATATTACCGTTATACAGTAAAATCTAGATACGTCTCAATGTAATAATAATACTAACACTAATACAAATAAATTATCATCAAAACATTATTTTGTAAGGAATAATCACAATTTTTCTTCCATGTTATAATTTGAACAGTAAAGCTCATTGTGCAGCACGTTGTTTGACAAAAAGTTTGTTTAATTTCATGATTAAAAGAAATTAAATTAATGTTTTATGTCTTCATTTGATTGCCAGAAAAAACACAACAGCGAATTTGTGTAAAAAAAAAAAAAAAAAAATGTTGTATAAGTTTAATAATTGTATAAGTTTCATGATTTAAATTAATTAGACATGCTTTTTGATTACTAAAAATGTTATACCACGTATCCGTAACACCTGTTTCAGGGGTCCTAAAAAGTAAATAAATGTATTGCAACTTTTTCATAATATTTGCATATGCAAATATATAAATAAAACAGTATTATATATATATATATATATATATATATATATACAGTACTGATCAAAAGTTTGGAAACATTACTCTTTTTAATGTTTTTGAAAAAGGTTTCTTATGCTCATCAAGCCTGCAATTATTTGCTCAAAAATACAGAAAGAAACAGTAATATTGTGAAATATTATTACAACTTAAAATAATGGTTTTCTATTTTAATATATTTTAAAAATGTCATTTATTCCTGTAATCAAAACTGAAAATGCTGTTGTTTTTTATTTTTATTCATCAATGAATTCTGAAAAAAAAGGATCACAGGTTATAAAAAAATATTAAGCAACACAACTGTTTCATCGTTGATAAATCATCATATTAGAGTGATTTCTGAAGGATCATGTGACACTGAAGACTGGAATAATGATGCTAAAAATTCAGCTTTGATCACAGGAATAAATTACATTTTAAAGTATATAAAAACAGAAAACCATTATTTGAAATTGTCTTCTTTCAAAAACATTAAAAATAGTAATGTTTCCAAACTTTTAACTGGCACCTATATATATATATATATATGGAAAGTCACTGGAATTAAGTCAATCACTGGAATTAAATGGGTTATGTACAGGTAAACCCCAAAATGGGCAGCAATATACAACATATTCAAGTGTTTTTGATCATATGTGTGCATCAAAATATTTAATTACTATGGTCATTGATAAAATTAAACAAATACATTTCTCTATTTTTAACTATTTAAATGTGTATTTGTGGCCAACTTTGAAAAATTATTATTATTACTATTGTTATTATTACTCATTGTTGTTGTTAATATTAATCTCTGTTTGGAATATTATCATGACTTCATTCTGCAAAGTGACCTGCAGGTGAACTAACCAGAAGCTTCTGTTCACAGAGACATTTAAACACACACTCTGTGTAAACTCAGCAACACTGAGTCTGTTAAACGGGATCTCACCAGCCCTTCGATCTGGATTTGTTTGACGGGAGAATCCAGTGTTTTTCCAGACGGGGTTTCTTTACGGGATGCCATCTTCACTCGCGCTGGGGATACACGGGATACAGGGATACAGAACCGTTAAACCAGTTGCTTCCGGTTAACCTGAGAATAGGTAAAAGAATCATTTACTGGAATCGGATCTTTTTCGATGAGTTTGTTGAAGCGGTTCAAAAACCGGGACTAAAGCGATTTATTAATTTTAAAAACATTCTATGAAAACTAGCAAAAACATGTTCAGCTGAGCGTCAAATATAATATTGTTTATTGTATATTCACATTCTATTTATGTTCTAAATTACTTTTTATAACGTAAAAATACATTTTTAAACGTGATTTTTTTTATATATTGACTGCAAAAAGCTTAACTGAAATCCATAAAATTACAATAAACAGCCCTATTAATATAAATCCCGTAATAAAGAGCAATATGTGACGACATTACGGTGGTTTTAAACGGTTCCTTGCAATGAAATGAACTGTTTGAAAGAATCGATTCGCGCTCGCTAGAAGGTACAGCTATAATAGTGGTCGGAGAAACAATAACTATTGTGCACTGTTCCTAGAATGAGTTAACTAATACATTTCTGAAAGTCACTATCTAATAATAATTCATTAAACGTGTATATTAATCGTAGTTATTATTACCTTGTTCCTATTAGTATTTGTTAGGATTAACGCGGTATTTCAATTATAGCAGCTTGCTGTTTTCCACCCGGTACACATTTACTGTAACCACGCTGTACCATGCTAGACATGTTTGAGATTGGCGTGAGTTTCGTCCAACTGTTTTGTTGACATATTGACATAAATCAAATGTATTAATCCTCACCAATTCGGATTAATTGTTATTCTTCTTCTGCCCTGTCAAGATAATCTATTCGTTTAAACTGTCTGAGCTTTATGTATAAATAATTCAGCATGAAGATAAAGCGTCAGAAGCACGCGAAGAAAACCATCAGTTTTTACAAGTACAACTTTAGCTTTAGGGAACCTTTCCAAATAATAATTGACGGGACGTTTTGTCATGCGGCGTTAAAGAATAAGATTCAAATCAAAGAGCAATTGCCAAAGTATCTGATGGGAGAAGTTCAGCTCTGCACCACAAAGTAAGTCAATCTTATTTCTAGTATTGATACACGTGTGTTAGATGTTGTATAATAACAGATTCGTGCTGTTCTTTTGCAGCTGCGCACTGAAGGAACTTGAAACCCTTCCGAAAGAGCTTTATGGAGCGAAACTCATCTTACAGAGATTTCAGATCAGGAGATGCAAACACACGAAAGATCCGGTTCCTGCATCTGAGTGTTTGCTGTCAATGTTAGGAGAGACAAATCCACACCACTACTTCATCGCAACTCAGGTAAGGACTCAATAACTGGAACAAAGTCATGTGGGTTTGTAGAATTAAAGGAGTAGTTCACCTCAAAATTAACATTTCCTAATAATTTACTCACCCCAATGCCATCCAAGATATCCATGTCTTTCTTTCCTCAGTGGAAGAGAAAATAAGGTTTTTTGAGGAAAACATTTCTGGGTTTTTCTTCAAATAATGGACTTCAATGGCAACCAACGTTTTGAAGTCCAAATCAATGCAGTTTTGAAGTGCTTTAACCGGCTCTGCATGATCCCAGCTGAGGAAGAGGGTCTTATCTAGTGAAAAAAAAAAAATATATATATATATATACTTTTTGACTACAATTGTTCGGATTGAGCTGATCTGCAACGCGCCGGGAACTACGTCGTCACGCTCAATGAGATTTAAACACCCGGGATACGCACACGAAAGGACCATTTTAAACAATAATATGACACAAAAAGACATAAATATGTCATTCAACATACAATACAATTTGAACTATCCTCCTTCGCATGGTCACTTTGTAAACAGTGGGGCGGTACTTGCGCCGGCGACATCGAGCGTGACCTTTCAACGTGATGACGTCGTTCCCGGCGCGTTGCAGATCAGCTCAATCCGAACAATTGTAGTCAAAAAGTATATATATTTATTTTTATTTTTTGAAAATGACCTATCGTTTGGCTAGATAAGACTCTTCCTCAGCTGGGATCGTGCAGAGCCGGTTGAAGCTCTTCAAAGACCTTTGAAACTGCATTGATTTGGACTTCAAAACGTTGGTTGCCATTGAAGTCCATTATTGGAAGAAAAATCCAGAAATGTTTTCCTTAAAAAACTTATTTTCTCTTCCACTGAGGAAAGAAAGACATGGATATCTTGGATGGCATTGGGGTGAGTAAATTATTAGAAAATGTTCATTTTGAGGTAAACTACTCCTTTAAGGAATAGTAACACACAATGGTTCTTCTTACCAGGATCAGGAGTTGACGAAGGCGCTGAAGAAGATCCCAGGGGTTCCTCTGCTCTACATTATCGTCAACACAATGGTGTTGGACAAGCCGTCCGAACAAACGCTGAAGCACGTCGAAGCCGTTCAGCTCGGTGAGATCGTGAACCCGTCGCAACAGAAGAGCATCCAGAGTCTGAAAGAGAAGGAAGGCCTCGGGAAAGACGGCGAGGACAAGAGAGGCAAAAAACGCAAGAGGAAATCCAGCAATCCCAACCCACTGAGCTGCCTGAAGAAGAAGAAGAGACCCCTGCCTCCGCAGCTCAAGAAGACGGACGGAGAGAAAAAGAAGCGCGTTAGAAACAAGAAGCGCCGGCCCGTTGGAGGAGAGAAAGCAGTCGGATCCGATCCCGCTCATGCTTAGAGTCGAGCAGAGCTTGTGCAAGAGTGTGTTCGTTCCTCACTGACTTTTCCCAGACCGTGCAAATGTGCATAATAATAATGTGTGTCTAATAAACTAGTGTTTCTCTTTTAACCAAGCCTGTTTTTTGTGGATGTTTAAGTTATAATTAAGACACACAATTATAATTAAGTTAGTGTGTGTGTGTGTGTGTGTGTGTGTGTGTGTGTGTGTATGTGTGTATATATATATATATACATACACACAGTAGTATACAGGTGAAACTCGAAAAATTAGAATATGGTGCAAAAGTTCATTTATTTCAGTAATTCAACTTAAAAGGTGAAACTAATATATTATATAGACTCATTACATGCAAAGTGAGATATTTCAAGCCTTTATTTGTTATAATTTGGATAATTATGGCTTAGTTTATGAAAACCCCAAATTCAAAATTAGAATATTGTGAAAGGTTTTCATAAGCTGTAAGCCATAATTATAACAAATAAAGGCTTGAAATATCTCACTTTGCATGTAATGAGTCTATATAATATATTAGTTTCACCTTTTAAGTTGAATTACTCAAATAAATAAACTTTTGCACCATATTCTAGTTTTTCGAGTTTCACCTGTATTATTCAAAATTTGTTAAAGATTTTGTAAGTATATTAGGGAGTCAATTGTTTTATTTGTGATAACACATCATTTTTGTCCAGGCAGTCATAAAAATAAATTATGAACGCATGCAGAAACGAGAGAGAAGCAATGAAATATTAATAACTGTTGTAGACTGTGTGTGTGTTTGTTCAAATAATATCAAATTAATGTTTTAATGATGACATAATAGTTTAATTACGTTAATTTTAGGTAATGGTTGAGGTATATGTTTGCCAGCAAACCACTTGTTTTTGTCTAATTTTGTCAATAATTTTTCCATTTAAACAACCCTGATTTCTGTGGAGATTTAAGTTATAATTATATAATATTATAGTTATAAATATTTTATAGTGCTGTCAAATTGATTAATCGAATCTAACATAAAAGTTTGTTTTTATATAATATATGTGTGTTTATTTCATATTTATTTATATGTACCGTATATTACATGTGTGTGTGTGTTTTTGATATATAAATTAATATTAATAGATACACAAACTTTTATGTTAGATGTGATTAATCAATTACGGCACTAATATATTATAATTAGTTATTTGAGAACAGAAGTATAGTTGGCTTATTGTATTTATAAATAGAAATGGGAATATATATATATATATTTAATAACAAGTGTGTGTTAGATTAGATTTCATATCTGTACATCCATTCCTCATATATATCATGTTAAATATTATTGGAAATGCTTATAAATAAATGAATAATATCAATTTAAAGTGATCATGTTTTAATACTATTATTTTATTATAATAATGAATCAAGTTGCATTTAATGGTCAGAATTATATTTAAAGGTTATATTTTTTTACCACAAGAGGGAGCTACAGCCTCGAAGAGCCGACTTTCTTGGCCAATAAGTGTGATATTTGTAAGGTTTGTACACATAAATGAATATGTATTAATAGATTAATATTACATTCCAATGTTTTCACTTAGAAAACGCCTAAAAAATGAGTAATTGCATCACATTGGCTCAACATCTTGGACATTATAAGAGCAGATAGGTGTGTGTGTGTGTGTGTGTGATTCATCATGGCAGAGGCTCTGAAAGAGAACTTGGACCCATTCTGTCTCTTTGAATGTGTAACGTCAGAGACTTGATCTATTGGGTTTAAATATAGCCTCCATTGTGTCTCAGCTATTTCTGTTCTGAGTGGGGATGTATTGCTTGTTTGTTCCGGTTGCTTGGGAAACTCAGAGAGGACAGGACAGCATGCGGCTCGTGTTCGTCACTGGGCTCAGATCCACCCAGAACACACACTAATGTCTGCATGGGATCAAAGCCAAATGTGATTTGTGATCTATTCAGTCCTGAAACAAATAAACTGGTCCGTTTGCAAACTGGGATCCGGGGAAAAGTCTAGAGAAAAAACAGGAAAATATTTAAATTCTTTGGATTCAATAATTGTTTATATTCGGTATATGTCCTGGATCCCTGCCTATCTTCTGATCTTACCCCTTTTATTTCCTATATGTTAAATTGTACAACTGTATTCTGGGATGTTTGGAATTTTCTAATATGTGGAGAAACCTATAAATAAAGTGAGACAAAAAAAGAGAAAAATATAAAAATTCCGGATTGTTGCAACCCATGTTTGAGTCAAATATCAAAACTTTAAAAAAAAATTCTAGAAATGCATGCTTTGTGTTCTCGTGAACAATAGTTGCACGCAGATAGAGATAGGTAATATCATATTAGTATATATTATAATGTATAATATTGTATATTATAAAAATATAGCCAAACTTAAATATTATTATTATTATATTCACATGTTTACAGGCTTTTCCACATGCGTATATTTATTTTAATCTCTAAAAATTATACATTTTTATCATATTTTAATTTAACATTCAATCATTTATTTATTTTACTCTAATTTATTTACTTTTTAATTTATTTTTCTCTCTCTAGACGTTTAAGCAAATTTATAAATAATAATTCAATTTGAGGCAAATATGGACAAACCCAACCATTGGTTTAAATGTTTTTATTAATTTTGAAACCCAAAAGTTGGGTTCGTCCATATTTGACCCAAACATGAATTGAAACAACCCAGCATTTTTAGAGAGATTAAAATAAATAAATAAGTGATTAAGTCTTAAATTAACATATGATAAAACATACGAAAATAAATAATACAATTAAAATAAATAAATAAACAAATTTGCTTAGTTTATTTTGCTTAAACGTCTAGAGAGAGAAAAATAAAAAATAAAATAATTAGAGTAAAATAAATAAATGATTGAATGTTAAATTAACATATGAAAAAAATGTAATAATTTTTAGAGATTAAAATAAATATACGAATGTGGAAAAGCCTAGAGTAAAACTTTAAACGTGAATATAATAATAATAATAATATTTAAGTTATATTTTTATAATATTATACATTATAATATATAATATTATGATATTACCTATCTCTATCTGCTTGCAACTATTGTTCACGAGAACACAAAGCATGCATTTCTACCAATATTTTCACCTTGTAATAGGTACTTTAACTAATGTTAACTAATGAAACCGTATAGTAATGAGGATAAGGGTTCCTCACACGAGGATATTGTGGCGTAAGCGTTTGGAAAGCCCTGGTTTAGCTGCATGGTATTCAGACTCCTGCTGTGTTCACTAGTGTTCACACACAGCCTTGCCAATGTTCACCTATTCAAGTGCATTCAACATTTACAACGCTCAGTTGAGGCTGACGTCAGTCTACGTCATTCCCTTCACATTAACAGACTTATGTTGCATGCAAAATGAGCAGTGTTGGGGAAAGCTACTTTTAACAGCAATGCATTACAATGTTGCTTTACTCCCCGAAAAAGTAACGAATTGCGTTACTTTTTATGAGAAGTATTGCGTTACATTACTTTTGCGTTACTTTTTCTCACCTGGGCTGGGCTTGCTTGTTTGTTTTTTAATAACAACAAAAAAAAGTTCTATTTTTGGCAAGTTTTAAGGCCCTTTCAGTAATTTTTGCTTATTCGTATATGGTTGAATTAGATATATATTAGACATCTAGAATTAGACATTGGTTAATAAAGTGAGATTAAATACATAAAGTATATTTGTGTAATTTAATATAGTTAATTATAAAAGTGTTACGTAAAATTGTGAGATTGCATTTTACTGTTTTTATTCATTTGAGGAAAACTGAGATGAGTAAATGCATGTTCACATTTAGTCTATAACTAAAATAACCATATTTACACAGCGCACACAAAACCACCTCTTTATTTCTCTCAACATGTCAGTCAATAAATGTGAAAAAGTAACTAGCGTTACTTATTTGAAAAAGTAACGTAGATATTTACATTTAGCAGACGCTTTTATCCAAAGCGACTTACAAATTAGGACTAAATCAAAGCGAGTCATCGTGAAGAGGCAAAAACGACGCAAGAAGTGCTCAAAATACAAAGTGCAGGCATTTCTCATTACATAAACCAGCGAAGGGAGAATTAATGGAAAAGGAAAGGTTTTTTGTTTTTTTATGATATTTTGTTGTGATATTATGATTTTTGATATTGATTATGATATTTTGTTTGATATTTTGTTGTAAATTGAAAAAGCAATGTGTTAGGCTACTTTACTAGTTACTTGAAAAAGTAATCTGATTACGTAACTCAAGCTACAGTGAGTTTAGAGTATTTAGAGAAACGAATATCCCCCTCCCCCCTCTCTCCCCTCAATAATAACAACTTTGTCATTTACATCAACCCGCATAAATCCGCGGTCGAGCGCCATCATAACTCTGCCAAACTGGGCGCTCACATGACGTGAAGCATTTTCTGGCGCATAATGTGACGTTTGAGAACCGAAAACTCCCAAACACAGCAAACACAACCGGCTAGGGTGACCGTTGACACATTCTCATCCCAAGGCGTCATATACTGACGCTTTTGCCAAAGCGTCTACATCCGACGCACATGGCACCCTTTAGCGTCAATATAACACGCTTCGGTTTTGGGTAGGTTTAGGTCTGGGGTAGTGTTAGGGTTAGACCACTAGGAGGCGCCATATATCTGCGTCTCATATTGACGCTAAAGGGTGCCATGTGCGTTGGATATATCCGTGTCAGTATATGACGCCTTGGGATGAGAACGGGCTGTGACCATATTTTGATGACCAAAAACCAGGACACTCGGCCCGGCAAACAAATAGGCTACTCAAATGATACTTAAAGTTTACTCAAAGATGCCTTTATATTAATTTCAATACATTTAAAGTAGGCTATGCCTCCTCTGGATAGAAAATTGTTATATTACAAGACACAAATTCAGATAGGCTTCTCAGAGGTTACTCAATATGTTTTATTATGACAGGTTTCAAACATAATGAATGAAATAATGATAGAAATAATGTCTCTTCTGTATTAGAAAA